CATAACTTTGAAATTGGGTTTTCAGCCTGGATCTGAATGGGAAATATGCTTCCAGCAAATATAGTAGAATAATTGCTTCAGGTTTGCCATTTTGCTGAGTTTTTTGCCAGTAAAGTCACTTGCTAAGAAAAGCATGGAATCCCTTTCCTTCCAGATACAAATTACGAACTGCATGCTCTTTCCTTCACCAAACTCATAATAAATCATGGTTCATTCTAGTGAGCAGTCTAGGTCTATTCCAACCTCTTATCACAGGGAAGTATATACAGCAAGTAGAAATCCAAGTTAAAATGGCATTTCCTTGAGAAAAGAAAGGATTGCGTTACCTTTGGTGTTGGCCTGGTTTAATCCCAGCTGCCGTGCACTGTTTCTTCCCCATCCATACACAACTCCTGAGAGAGACAGGGCAAAGCTGTGTGCCCCGCCAGCAGCCACTTGTGCCAAAGGGATTCCATTGAGAGATGCAACTTGCTGTGGGCTGGCTTGAGAAGGGAATTCTTTCCCTAGGCCCAGCTGGCCATGGCTGTTCTGCCCCCAGGAAAAGACTCTGCCATCTTTATGTAAAAAAAAAAAAAAATGGAGGGGAAAAGGAGAAGGACCGAGAGAGAGAGAGACCTCCACACCTTCAGGTAAGAGTCGCACGGACTAGTTCAGTAGTTCTTAACTGGGTTGTCATGAGAGCCTGCCAATGGTGCCCCCGCTGCTGCCACTGTGAAGTGAAGCTGTTTCACATGCCTCTGTTTTCAGAAGGCACATCAAAGCCAACCTGAGAAGCAGCCACAACAGAAAGGCACACATGCCTGCATTACATTATTCAGGCAGGCATGCTATTTTCTGCTGCAGCACATCCTGAGGATGGACATCTGTAGGGCAGTTCTGCCTGGTGGCAGTGACTTTAATCTCCAGGCTGCCACTGCCATAAGAGCCGAACCAGAAAGAGCTGCAGCAGGACAATGCACCCACCTGCATGCTGTAATCATAAAAATTAGGGTTGGGAGGTACCTCAGGAAGTCATCTAGTCCAACCCCTGCTCAAACCAGGGCCATCCCAAACTAAACCATCCCAGCCAGGGCTTTGTCGAGCTGGGCCTTAAAAACTTCCAAAGATGAAAATTCCACCACCTCTCTAGGTAACACATTCCAGTGCTTCACCACCCTCCTAGGGAGAGTTTTTTTTTCCTAATATCCAACCTAAAACATCCCTTGCTGCAACTTGAAACCATTGCATCTTGTTCTGTCATCTGCCACCACTGAGAATAGTTTAGCTCCATCCTCTTTGCAACCACTTTTTTGCAACCACCTTTCAGGTAGTTGAGGGCTGGTATCAAATCACCCCTCAGTCTTTAATTCTGCAGACTAAATAAGCCTGCAGATAAGCCTGTAATGCAAGCAGGCACACCTTTTTGCTGCAGATGCTTCTCAGTTCAGCTCCCACATGCCTTCTGAAAACATAGCTGAGTGGAAAAATTCCACCTGCCCCATGTGTTTTTGTTTCCAGGAGACACAGTCCAGGGTAGGGATATGAACGATTAAATGATTAATCGTTTAACCAGTAACATCAGTGATACATTACTGGTTATTGTTTAGCATGGGGTAAGGTGTAGACTAGTAGGGAAGGTGGGGAAGGGAAGCCATGCAGTGCCCAAGAGGGAACCAGAAGGCAGCAAGGAGGAAGAGATGGAGGGAGAAGTGAGGAGGAGGTGAGGGGGGACAAGTACCTATAGCTAGGTTTCGTGGACCCTGGTGCAGCTGCTTGCGGCCTCCTTGCTGCCTGCCATGGGCAGCCTGGCTCTAGGCAGCCCCCAGCTGCCTGCCATGGAGCCTGAGCTGCTTGCAGCAAGCAGCAGGGAGCCTCCAAGTAGCTGCAATGAGGTCCACAAAGCCTAGCTATAGGTACTAGTCTTCTCTCCCTGTCCCCTCTTCTCTGCTGCCATACTGATTTACTGTTAAATCAGTATAATTAAAACAGGTTAAACGGATATTTTTTAAATTGGTATTTACATCCCTAGTCCAGGGTTGGCCTGAGAAGGATTGCAGCAAAAGCATGCACTCCTGCCAGATCAGTTTCCTGTGGTGCAATTTCACCTGGCTGTGGTGGCAGTGGCAGTGGAGTGAACAGAATTATAATGATCTAACCTATGAATAACACATTAATTAATAATATCATTCTAATGTTTATATTATACTATTCATAATATAGTTATATTAGTTTTTTAATGGAGTGCCACTACATTTTGAAAAGTTTCGGGAGGGTGCCCTGAACCTAAGGAAGGCTGACAACTAAAGGTGCACCAATATGTCAGTCCAATATCGGATCGGCACCGATATAAAAAAAATTGGCTGTATTGGAAATCGGCCCGTAATTTAATTTGGCTGATAAATGCCCATGCATGCACGCAGCCACAGTGCAGCATGTAGGCAAGGAGCACAGCCCAGCAGTGTGTAGAGCTGCATGCAGCTGGTAAGGCTGTTGTGGTGGAAGGGGAAGAGAAGGAGTGCGTGGGGGGGCAGATCAACGCTCCCACAGTGAGGAAGGGAGTGGAGCAAGGGTAGGGGCAGCCACTGCCCAGCCGGGTAGGGTAGAGCACGGGACGGAGCTGCAGCTCATCCAGGGGGTGCAAGGAGGGGGAAACGTGCCCCTGGTTCTGTACAGGGTGGGGCAGGTGGGCTATAACTGCAGGCTGCAGCTGGGGCTGCACCGGGCTTTTCTTGGTGAGGGCTGGACTCAGCAGGTAGCGGCGGTGCTAGGAAGGGGCTACGGGGGGGGGGGGGGGG